CTAAATACATTTCCAAAATCTGCTCATCTTTTATCAAGTATACAGCATCACGATAAAAAAAAAATTTCCAGTTGTTTTGGGTGATCAATAAACATTTTCTAAAACCATTCAGAATTTCATTTCACAGTGTGGTACTGGCAAAAAAAACAGACCCAAAGATCAATGAAACAGACCAGAAGATGCAGTAACAACTTCCAACATATTCAACCACCTTATATTGGACAAAGGGACCAAACACACACCGGAAGAAAGACAGACTCTTTAATAAGTGGTGCTGGAAAAACTGGCTCTGCACATGCCAAAAATTAAAACTGGACCCAAATCTTTCACCATGCACTAAATTCGAAATGGATCGAAGATCTAGGTATTAAGACAGAAACATTAAATCTGCTGGAAGACAGACTAGGTAAAGGTCTTGAAGACACTGGTGTAGGCAGACTTTATGAATAAAACCCCAACTGTACAGGAAGTATCCCGAAGAATCAACAATGGGGATCTCAGCTTATTAAAAACCCTTTGCACAGCGAGAGAAACCGCCAACAGAGTGAAGAGACAATGTGGGAGAAAGTGTTTGCCAGATGTTTCTGCGACAAAGGGTTACCACTGAGAATGTACAGAGAACTCAAAACACCAGACCTCTGACACCTGAAGCCCCAATCCAAAAATGGGCATTGGAGAGGAAGACACACTTTTCAGATAAAGAAATACAAACAGCAAATAAACATGTGAGAAAATGTTCAGCACCACTGGTCATTCTAGAAATGCAAATTAAAACAACACTGAGATTCCATCCCACCCCAGAAAAAAATGGCTGTGGTCAAGAAATCCACCAACAACAAATGCCGGGGAGGCTGTGGGAAAAAGGAACCCTTCTGCACTATTGGTGGCGTGTAGACTGATACAACCACAACTAATTTAAAGATAACAATGTGCAGTGTAGCAATGTGTTGACCATTGTTACCCTCCTATTATATCGTTTTGGACTTTGGTTCACATGTACATGTGTTTATTGTGTTTTTTCTTTTTCTTTAAAATACAAAAAAGCATTTCATTTCATTTTTAGTTTTATTACTTTATTTACTTTCACTTTAATGGTTAAGAGAGAAAACCTTTATCTAGGCTATGGAAATTAAAATTAACTTCCAAATAATAAACAATGAAAGTGGTTCAGGTGTAACAGTTATAGCCTCCAATCTCTCTTAAAGGCAACAACTCCTGTCAGTAATACCCTTTAAAATAAGCAAAGATTCTTTGGGGTTTATGAATAGGAAACACTAGTCCCCCAACTCACCCCACTTTTACCCACCATTGGGCCTACAGAAGTAATAGGGGCTAACTTTTAGGACTATAGAAAATTTGACTGAAGCCTCAATTCTAGAAGAGGGAGAGAAGAGTTTAAAAACTAAATTTCTCTAACAAAACCATGTCACCAAAAATTGACACACATAGCCTGGTGTTGTTTTGCCACTCTGGAACTGAGAACAGTTGAACTTAAAAATCTTTCCCTTCCCGCCCTCCAAATCTCAATCCCAAGGCTCACGCAAACCCTGTTGGAGAATGAAGGAAGATAAGGAAAAGGGGGGGCGGGGGGCAGAGCAGTACATGACTTAAATGGCAGTATGTAGGAGTCTTTTATGCAAGGACTTTAACAGATATACGGCAAAGTTAGAAATTCTGAGCTTTTTTGGCCCGCCAAGTTTTTATACATCAGGTATTATTACCAAACTTTTTAAAAGAAATTATACTCAATAAACCATATACATTTCTAAAAATTCTTTTTAAAAATACCTGATTTAGCATTTGATTAATTTTTAGCTGCAGTTATCAAAAATTTTTAAACACCACAGTCATAGGTAAAATGTATTTAGTTCCGCTGTGAAACATTTCTTACCGCCGTTTCACACATACTTTCAGAGGAAAAACTCACACACTAGAGAAACCAAGTCATTTCCTCTTTGCCCCACACACTCAGGACGCTGTACTGTGAAAGCAATCAGAAAAACTGCTGTCTCTCTCCCCTCTGGGCAGAAATAATTGGAGATGTGATTTCAGGATTTCTGTACAGGGGAGGGAATGAAGCAGTTAGCTGAAATGTTAGGGGCAAACAAGTGGGCTCTCTCTCTCTCATCCTACTGCAAATCAAGGGCAACAAGCCAACCCCTCACTGTCATTTCTGCCCTCATAAATGGGGAACGGTGGCTTTGCATCCCCGCATATATGTATTTTGAATTATGTACAGGTACTCCCTGTTATGAGGTTGAAGAAAGAGGCCCAGATGATAATTGTGAGGGGAAGAATGAGAATTAATTAAACTCCACGTTAATACACTAGAATCAGGATAGCTAATGATACAGTAAGAAAAACCGAGTCTAGTATAAGAGAATTATCTTACTGCAAATTGGGTGAAAAAAAAAAAATCACACCCTTCCACAGTACTTCAAATCACTGACCACCAATAAACTATGTTGTTCACAAAGGAAGAAATACTACATTTATTTTCTTTGTGCTGCTAATGTAAAAGACACATGGAAGTCAGAACAAACTTTAGCAACAAAGTCAATTTCTAGACTCACAAGATTCCCGAAGTACATAGGTGACATTAATGTAAGATGGCTTTGGGGAAAAAATGAGTAAATACATGGAAAAACCTTTTTTGTTTAATGATTAACCCCTTTATTGTTTAGCTATTGTCCCATTTTTATTTTTTTAATATTTATTAAAGACTTTATATATATATATATTTCATGGTTAATTTGATTTTGAGGAAGAGCCAGAATTACAAGGTGGATGAGGTCACAGCATAATGTTTTTATCTGACAGAAATTGCCATAAACATTTAAAATCAATTCTGGACACTGAGGCAGCCACTACAGAGCAACTGAAGATACTCATGCAAGAGGTCTCCCAGAAATGCTTCAGAAAGCGGCAAGAATGATGGGATGAGTGTGACACACTGCATAGATGCGACAGAGAGTATGTTGAGGGGGATTAAAGCACTATGTCTTTTTCTGTAATAAATTTTAAACACTCACTATACCTTTTGATCAGCCCTTGTATACCCTCAGTGCTCAAGTATATTTTATTATTCATCATAGCTTACCGGTAATAAAACTGAAGGTCATGTTGCATTAACATGGCATTGAAGTGGTAGAGTCAAGACTGACCTCACGACCCTCCATGGCCATCCTCCCTCACGATGGGCTGAGGACAATAAGCTCCATGTATTATCTAGAAATCCCTGTATTTTCTTTGTGGCTAGGGCTGTAGATATAGCTCAGAAGCATAAGCACCTGCCTGGCAAGAGCAAGGTCCCGAGTCCAATTCCCAGTACCAAAAAAAAAAAACCACCTTCCTGGAAAGAAGGATATCTGGAAAATGTCATGGGCTGAACGAATTATGTTCCCCAGAATTCGTATGTTGAAGCTAAGACCTCCTGTAGCTCACAATGTGGCTCTGTAATGGGGGAGAGTGTCTTTAAAGTGATACAGTTAAAATAAGACCCTTAAGGATAGGATTCAATCCATCTGATGGGCGTCCTTCCAAGAGGACAAAATGATGTGTAAGAAGATGCCACAAGTGTGCACGCAGAGAAAAGACCAAGTTGGGGTGGTATCTGCAACACAGAAAGACCTCGGAATGGAACTAACCCTGCTGTGTACTTGATCATGGAATTCTAACTTTCAGAACTATAAGAAAACTAACTTCTGTTGGTCAAGCCACATAATCTGGGGGTATTTTGTTATCGAAGCCCTAGCGAGCGATCTAAGAAGAAAGAAGAAGCCATCCAACAGCGAAACATACACAGACTGCAGATTAACAGCAGCTCCTGTGTTTTTCAAGGCTGGACTGAAACTTGCTGTAGAATGTGGCCTTTATAATTAATGAAGGAAGTGTCACCCTTGAAGGGTTACGGGACCGTGGCAACGCTGTCCACCCACGTTCTTTCCAGCACATCCCCTTCATGCAAGTATCTCTCGCACACAGAAACATGGATGAGAAATCCCCCGTATCTCCAACACACACGCCCTAACCATCACGGTAAATCACAAATGAAAACCATTTCAAGGCATGGCCCAATGCTCTTACCTCAGATCTTGCTTGAATACACAACATTTGTAAAAAATACAACCCACTGAATGTTTGGCACTGCTCGGAATGAATATGTCCACTTAACAGCCAATACCCCAGGCTGTCAAAAAATCTCCAGCCAGGGTTTTTTTTTATAAACATTACCTATCTCTTTAAATTCTACAGCCTAGGAAGTTAAAAAAAAAAAAAAAAAGCAAGGCTGCTTATTTCGATTCTCCTTCTACCTAAACATAATAAACAGAAACCATTCACAAGAAAATGTAAAATTCTCAGCTGAGAGAACAGCACAGAGCACCTGGCAAACTGCCTTCACACTTACATCCCTTGCCCGGGCCACCCCCGCTCCAGCGACACCTACACAGAGCTCACACTCCACCAAGGCCAACCACCTTTAATCCCAGCGCACACTGAAAGAGGTTATTTACAGCTGATATTTCAGATGCTAGACAAATAATGCTCCTGTTCACTTTCTCGCCCACCTTGCACCATACAAAATTTAACAACCTGAAGGATAAACTCAGACCCGAGCACACATGACAAGGGTGCACAGTCACTGAGGAGTTTCCAAGCAAGGAGGATTTGCCAGCTTCCCTCTGAGTTCCAGGCCCTGAAAGGCCAACTGTGGTGTTTGAGTTTCCATTAGGCCTGCTGCTTGCGGGCTGCTGCTATGCTCAGTAAGGACCCACGGCCCGACTGTCCTATAAACATCTCACCCTTCTGCAGGAGATCTCCTGCTCGCCTTACTTCCCGAGGCAGAGAATATGCTGATTGAGAGCCTCGGCCGAACATTAGCTAACACTTGGAGCACAGCTGACCGCTCTCCTCTCCAGGCCAGTGACTGCTCTTAAAAAAAACATACACGTTCACACAAACATAGCGAGACCAGGAAGAGGAGCCCGGACTGTTCTTACCATGTGCCACCCAGCCATGTTTACACTGATCGCAAGTCCTCAGGTTGATCTTCCCCGGCTGGAAACATTCACACGTGCAATTTACCAGCGTGCATCGGATGGCCTGGAAAATAAAAGAGGAAAAAATATCAGCATCTCTAAAAAAGATACTGCATTTCCCACTATTTTAAATGAATAATGACCACTTGTATTTTAAAAAGGTTTATGTAGTGGAGGCCTGGAGAATTCTTCAAATGAATTTTGCTGTCAAATCTCTCACATGAAAGGTAAGAAAGCTCACTCACTAACACGTTTTAAGTCATTCATAGTAACTTTTAAATTAGAAATACAGGCCAAGTAGAAGAAGAATAAAAAGATTACATATTCCACAAGACACCAGATTTGTAACACTGAAGAGGAAAAATAATTCTGCTAATATAGATTTCCATTTTTTATCCACTTCCTAATAATGCAAAGAAAAATATATTCTACCATAATAACTCAAGTGAAATGTTTATGAAAGTAAAATATGGTATGCAAAAATTATTCCAAAAACGTGTTTTCCTTCTGCTGAATTTCAGTTACATTTTAAAAGATACTCCTGTTGGCCTAGTAAGACCTAACATATTTCTATTATTATTTATCACTCCCCAATTCCTTGAGATTTTATTAATTCTATTTTCATTCTTATATTGAAAAATATAAATATTCTTCCTATTTTAACGACAATATAAGAAAACAAGTTTATATTTGCTTTTATATCCGATCTAATGTAGGAAAAGCCATTTATGTGACCTTTTTCTACCTGGAACAGTACAACCGTATCTGAGAAAACTGAACTATACACTGAAAAAAATTATACTTCCTTACAAGTGTAGTACTTCAAAATATCATATCATTTTATGCAATAAAGTAAATCCACAGAAAATTAGCATAAATGGAGTGTAACTTTTGGTGAATAAAAAATCTATGCTTAATAATTGTGCTGAAGCTGACCTGTGCTCCCAGGCTACAGTTAATAAATCTATCTCATACATTTAGCTGTAATTTGCATGGTATTTCTGAAGACAGAAGGGCTTTGGTGTGATCATTCACAGATTAACAATCTACTGTAACCGCCTGAACTGCCAGGAAAAGATTCCTCTACAGATTTGGGTGTGACCAATGATTACTGATTTTGCAGTGGAATGTGGGTATGGATTACCTGAAAATGTGGTTCTGTGCCTGAAAGCTGCACTCATGCGCATGCTCCAGATGCTCACATTCCTGGAACCATGTGAATTTTTACATAAACAACTCGCTATTAAGAGGCAGTATTTTCAATACTGTTAACATGATCAGGATAAATTCTGTTTACAGAGACTAAGACGGAATAAATAGGCTTCCACTGTTCCCCATGTGCTGGATCAGTCAAGAGTAGGGTATCTTTAACAAATTAACATAACTCATGGACGCTTATCTTGTTTCCGTTGTTAAAGTTCTCAGGGTGTACCCCTTCTCATAGTTTATTCCCATCCCTAATTCACTTTTCTGTTCACCTCGCGGGACATATTCAATAATGCTATCTGCCTGATCTGTCAGGGACTCTCTTCCTATGTCAAGTGTCCAGCTGTACAGGAACTAGAGTATAAAATTTTGCTGTATGTACCGGTAGTTAAAGAATACATATATTGTAAGAGGACATAATTCTTCTGAAAGTTATTTCAATTTCAATAGTTTATTAAGCAAGCAATATATCAGAATGTCCCAGTTTGGAAGTAGTTCATTTATGTAACATGTTCATTAGCTGAAGAACTCATCACTTTTGTGCTGTGACTACAATAAAGAGTTTGCACTAAAAGTGAGTCACTTTACAATTATAAATTCAGATATGGGAAGTATATTTACATTAAAACATCTGAAGTGAAATAATGAAAGCCTACATAAATTGTTTTATTTATGAACTCTCTACTTTTACCAAAATCAAGGGACAGACAATAACAATAAATGATCTTTCAAAGACTATATTTAACTCCAGTATATATATATATAATTTAAATAAGTTATTTGATGATAAAATTATTTTACAAAAATGTCCTAATTTCGTATCATGTGTCAAGCAAAGCTTCACTTCTACTCAAGACTTGAGTATACCTGAGCTACACTCAAGACTAGAACAAGAGGCTACACATTCTCTTTACATGCTTGTTTGTTTGACTGATTTTACTGTGGTTGAATCATCCATTCACCTACTCTGAATTAGTTCATGATTCCAATATTTTCTCTTTCTAAGTAATTTCATACATCTGTTATATTTGGGGATTAAACCTTTCAGTCATCCCCTTTTATATTCTACTCTTACTGAACCTAAACATGTAAACACTGGAACACCTCACCTCCTTTGTACGTAAACACTTAAGCACCAAATCAGCCACTTTGTATCTCTACGATTTCAGAAGGTCTATTTGTTTTACATTCAGATGTATACAGACTTCACAATTGTTCCTCAAGGGAATTACATATATTTAAACAATATGGTCTAAATAAATACTTTGAATAAGAGCCTACTGTGCCTTCAAAGGTAGTTTTTATTCTAAATAATATTTCTGAAATGGCATAAAACTTTAACATACTATTTATCTATAACAAAACAACCAAGACGATCACTTGCCAATTCACCTGCACTTAAAAAACATGAATTATCATAAAACTATCCAAGCCAGTTAGGCCTCAAACACGTACATAGACTACAACGGCTCAGGAAGAGGGGCAAGGGATGAGTTTCCGCTCTGGAGAGCTCATCCCTCTCTTCCTTCAGCGGATGGAGCATCCAAGCTTCCTGCCAGGCACTCCCAACAGGACCACGCTGCGGGTACTACATCACTGCCCAGTTCAGTCAGACTTCTGCCTCGTCCCTGTGCAGGCAGGCGTTTCAAGCCTGGCTCCAGGACGTCGCCTCACCAAGGGGGCACTGTAAGGGGGCACTGTAACTCTTCTCAATTCTAACATGATCGCCAACCTCTCAACTCCTAAAGAACAGTAACCATTTTTTTCATCCTGCAACTTTCTGAACATAATGTTTACTTCTGCTTGCCGCTACCATGGATTTCTTGAAAGATAAATCCATGTACTCACCAGCCCATACTTCAGAACCTGCATTTTAATTCTGTAACCTGGACTCTGCCGCATGAGAAGCAATGTTCTCGTCACGTCTGGCCCCGTTTCCTAGTGTCCTTGTCCTCCTAGACACTGATGCAGCCTGCAGCACGAACTCGCCTCATTCCTGGGCGCAGACACTCACTGTCCTACTCTCTCTGGCAGTCACTGCTTTCTCTCCACTGTAGACAAATACCAGTGCTTCCCATAGCAGGACTCTTCATTCTTTAATCTGGCAATCTCATCCTCTCCTCCTACAGCTCCGAATACATCTCTATGCAAAAGCCATCACTTTAGAGCCAGGTGCTGTGCTAAGTGGAGGGAAATGAACGGCGGTGTCTCCTGGGCACGGCGTGACAGTCTGCTGTCTGTGAGTAGTGACTGAGCTTGGAAGAGAGACTCAGGGAGCAAGAAGGAAGCTCGTGAGCAGGTTTGAGAAGCACCATCCCTTCCTCTATTTCTCTGTCCTTTCTTCTACCAAATTCATGATCTGACGTTATTCATATTAGCTACGTTTCTCCACTAAATATTTGCCATTTTGCAGACATTGGCTGGGTAGGTCACAAACATTAGCTGTCCCCATTCTCAGAAAATGCTAAAAGGTAACAGTACTACTATTCCTTTTATTTCACAAGTGAGGAAAGCACGGTAGAGCTAAACCCCTAGGAAACGCACAGACGCAGGTACTGGTATGTGTGAGCGCTCCGCCCCACCAACGTAGGAGGCTTCCGTTATCCCACGCGCAGAGAAGCGCTCGTGGGGCAAAATTTTCACTGACCTACCTTCCTCCAAAAGTCATCTATTTTTGTTCTTCTTATCTTCCACTCTTACTGTTAGCACTGTTTCTAGATCCACGTGGCTCCTAATTAATTCCTCTTTTCTATCTATCCAAATAAACATTCTCAGAGTTTCACACATTTGATTCTTCTGTATGGTATCTACTTTACTGAGGTTATCTTTGCCCTCTTATAAGCGTCTTCCTGCTACAGCAAAAACTTGTGGATGGCAACCTCTACTTGTTTGACAGCAAATCCACCCCCGTCCCCAGACCTAGGCCTTTGTATTGCCTGCTTCTCCAGCAGAACGCTACCCACCTGGCCACCTCGGAACCATCGCCCTGCATCGCTCACTTCTGCTCACTCTTCATTTCTCAGCCCTAGTACAGCACCACCCGTTCCAGGACGGTCACCCCAGTACCCCATGCAAGCAAAGCTGTTCCAGCAATCTCCTGTACCACAAACGATCTGTCACAGCGCTTGTCTCAGCTTGTAAATACTGTAATTATCTACGTGATTTGTGACTTTATTTGTCTCTAAAATTTAACAACCAAGAGGGCAAGACAATGAGTCCGTTGCACTTACAGTGTGTACTGGCAAACAACAGGTGCCCAACAGGCACTTGAAGAAATACAGAACGTGATTCCTGGAGCCCCTTTCCTCAATCGGTGGTGCTGCAGTAATAACCCCCAACTACATCCCAAGACTGAAATGAAATAATGAATACAAAGCACTGCTACCCTGCTTGGAAACAAGAGCTCAACAAATGATAACCATTTACGGTTTCAGAAGACTTTCCACGTATTATATTTGAATGATGCTTCTTTTCCCCTTATGGTATCTCCCCAATGTATTTTAAGCTTTATTCTAACATACAATGAAATACTTAACACACATGCAGTGAGTCTTAATGAACATTTTGACATACGTAATACCATTATTCATATCATAATACTCTTAAGTGAACACAAAGATTATTATTTGTGTTTTAAGGCTCTTCAATGTTAAAGTAGACAGGAAGACAAATCTCTCGTTCATTACACTGCTTTTATTCCCATTACCTATGGAAAAATAAATTATACAATTGATAAATTTAAATTATAAGTACTTATATTAACAAGTGCATCTACACTTGGTGTGGGGTACGCTGCTCTAGTCCCAGCTCCACAGGAGGCTAAAAGCAAGGGATCGGTAGAGCCCAGTTTAGGCTAGC